CCCGTACGTGCAAACATAGAAATGCATTTTGAAATGTTTGCAGATGCAACAAGAAGACCGATGTAGTTTGAGGCATACAATTGAACTATTGAACGAATTTTTATGTTCTTCAAATGTTTTATTTTTTTTTTATTTTTGCTCTGTTTTGTTCAAAAACAAAAATTTGAAATTTATTCAGCAATGTATTCTTAACATATGTTTGGAAGAAAAAATTTAAATTTATTATTAAAAACTTGAAGGATGGTTTGAAATGCCTTTTGCAAAAGTTTTCAACAATTTCCTGAAGTTGAAAATATTATGAATTTAAAATATGATAAAAAAATGAGTAATTCATTTAGTGCTTCAATTTTATAAAAAAAAAACAAAATGTTTGGATAGATTACGGTAAGATTAATCTGCTACTCCGATCCAAATCGTCAATTCTATTACTAAAACAACCATTCTGTTTACAAAAATATTTGAGCTTTTGTATCGAAAACCAAAACATAAACATCAACAAAAATCTAAAAACATTTAAAAAAATTTTAAATTATATAAACAACTAGCCATTCAGACTTTTCATACTCAAACACATGCGGATGAGACTTTTGAAATGAGTCAAACAAAACGTTTGAAGAGAAAACAAATTGTTCGTGTTGGAAAAGGAAAAGCTAGCATCCAATATGGTGCAGGACTAATGTATAATACAGTTGCATGGAAACAGCATGCATTGGAAATTTTCAATACATAAGAGTCAAACATTGCGCTCTGACAATTCAGGTTTGCTCTTTGAACCTGACACAAACTTGGCTTTTGGTCAAAGGATTTTCTCCGTAATGGATCTTGCTGTTTGGAATGGTTTGCCTAGAGACCTTTATGATCCTTCGTTGTATGTTATTCAATTTCGTAAAAGGCTGAAGCACCATCTTTTTGTCCGAGCTTACCCGTGCTAATGTCTTCTTCTCTCCATTCATTGCATTGCTTTAGTTAAGTGCTACGCATTGTACTGCAATAATACTTAGCGTCTCTGAGATCTTTTTGAAGGACGCATACAAACACACCAATAATAATAATAATAATAATAATATATTAGAAATTTACATTATATATATATATATATATATATAAAGTTTACACACCAATAATAGTAGTAATAATAGTATATTAGAAATTTACATTATATATATATATATAAAGTTTATATGTATGCATGTATATTAAAACTGACGCGTGCGTGCGTACAAGTGACATGATGAACGTATCCAACAAGCGTTCAATCAAGTTTGACACCGGTGCCCTTCGTCACACATGAATCAGTTAATCAAATGAATTCCAATATATTCTGAAACGTTGAGCCTACATATAAAACGTAAACACTAAACACAGGCGCATATTTTTATAAAGTTTTGTTCTATAACGTTGTAACTGAGAATTTCAAAACTGAAAACTTGCTTGAAAATGAATAATTTCACTTCTAAAAGCTGAAAAGAAGAAAAAGAAGAAGAAGAAGAAAAAGAAGAAGAAGAAGAAAAAGAAGAAGACGACGAAGATGAAGATGGAGGAAGATGCGTAGCGAAGAGCTGACTGAAGCGAACAGCGTTTTCGCGTGCTATCTCGCTTCTAAGAGGGAAGAATGCGAAATCATATCTGATGATTACCAGACTTATATATAGAGAGAGAGAAAGAAAAAGAGAGGGAGAGAGCTAATGACATTTTTTAAATTAACTTTTATTAAGCAAGCGCATTTGAGACCTTATAAAAGCGTCTTATAAATAACCTAAAAAAATCTTGGTATAAACATACACACATACATATATATTTATATAGTTATCCAAAAATTTTCTCCAAAGTTGGGACTTATAAAAAATAACAAAATATTCATTCCTTCATTCGTTCGATCGATCGTTCGTTCGTTCGTTCGTTCGTTCGTTCATTCGTTCGTTAGTTCATACATCGAATTCATTCATTCATAGATTTTAAAAAATTAATATATTCTACTCAATTAATTCCACAGAAACTTTCATATGAAGAACAAAAGTGCATAAGCAAAACTCTTTCCGAAAAACTTCCCAAACCATTCTCGAGCAGATGCAAAGTTTTCCATCGATCAAAATATTTTGAAGAATTTTGACGTTTCCGGACTGCGGATATGATCCAGCTGATAAATTGCATCCAAACAAAATGAATCCACCGCAGCGCACACATTTAATGTCCTCCGTTTGCATTGTGAAAATTCAATTAAAAAATCTTCCATGGCAGACCCTTTAACTGATGTATATATATTGACTGACTGGCTGGCTGGCTGGCTGGCTGCAAATGTGTCAATAATTTTTATGAATGGTGTTATTAAACTTCAACCTACGTCTGTCGGATTGCAGAATGTGCGTGCACGTATAGACGAATAAACAAACAATTACACTAGTAGAATATAAGTTTAAGCGTTCTAAAGTATAATTATTTAAAGCAGGATTATGTTCAGAAAAACTGATAATAAAGCAGTTTTTTCTCATCGTTTATTGCATCATGTTTAAATTTGAATGACACTCTGCTCACCAAACTGAAATTAAGTTAAATTTTGTGAAAAAACAAACATATTTTTACAGACCTTCTACATTAAAAATTGTTAGAGTTCACTAAATAGATTTGATATAATTTGCAATTGACACGTGTCAATATAAAAAGCAAATCATTCGACAACTATAGCATTCATAACATAAAAATGACGCTTCAACTCAAATCATCATTTAAGTGTCACTATGAAATTCAATGTACACATTTGCGAAGAAGTTTTACTCATCCAAAAAATGTTCATTAATAAAAACCTTTTATCTGGGCAAAAAAAGAAATCTAAATTAACTTTAACGACAGTGATCATTTTTCTCTTTGCTTCTATGAATTCAGTGAAAGCAAATTATCACAAACACCACAACGTAAATCCATTAAAAAACTTTCTTATTAATCGATTATTTTTTGTTTTATTTCATAAATTATACATATATATATTTACTATCATTTGCAACAAACAATCAAAAATCAACAATACCAAGGTTTTCCCAGAGCTAAATTTTGTTATTGAAAGTCTGTGCGTGTTATTGCAGATAGTGCCAACATTTTTTCGGGAAAGTACAAATAAGTCTACGTCAGGCGAACAATGCATCCACCATCCATCCATCACGCAAAAATGATGCATTGTTCATAATTGTCGTCATCTTTTTTATAGTGCATTTTTTTCATGGTCCCATCATTACTGACGTGATCTTCATCTTTTTGTTTCATCATTTTAATCATCACCAGAGTTAATTTGGATTCATGGAATGATTGTATGATGATTATAATTGGTGGAATGAAATGTGAAATTGAGAATCAGGATGGGCCTTCTTCACAGAATCACATCATTTCCGTCCAACACATTTGAAGCAAAAACAAGAGTCTGAAAACACGAAATGCTTGGTACTGCGTTCTTTTATATGTAAAATGAAATAACGAACGTTCAAATTTTGTATGAGAACAAAGTTGAAAAAAAAGCTGATGGACAGTTCGTGGAGTGACGAAATGACAGTAACTAAGTTGGTTGTGTGAACTGAAATACATCAGAATTGAAAAAAAATTATGCCAGTTGAAAAAAACAGACTATTTTCAAATCCTTAAATGCAATCCTTTTAAAGCATATTTCAAGTAAAGATGTAATAATGTATGCGTGAGTTTCATTATTTGTATGCAATGGATTTGTATACAGGCGTTCAATCACTGTAGTTTATTCCTTATTTGTTTTTTTTCTATGTTTGTTTTTGTTCGTGCATTCTCTCCTTCTTTGAGTAAATAGAGTTTTTGTTCGTCTTTTATTTATTTGTTCATTCAATAATTTATCCACTCGTTCATTATTTTTTTCCATCACTTATTCACATTTTTTTTTGTTCAATACAGGCGCAAAATATTTCATCACAAATATAAAGATAAGCGTGCTAATGTTTGTTCATGGATGGAAAAACAGCAGACTGCGGAAGGAATAAATTCGCATGACGCATCTCATCTCCATCCCCATCTCAATCATCATCTCCATCTCGCGACTGCACTTGATCCCACATCAATATATAATCGATGGATTGAATGTTTGTCCAACCTGGCAAGCAAAAACTCCTAGAATTCAAATGAATGTCGCTTGAAAATTCAACAGAACGTAATGCACTGCATGTTAAATGAAGTGAAATTTTATCACTGCCATAAGGTAGATATGATAAGTTAACACTCGTTAGCGTCACTATATCAATTACTTTTTTGTATGTGTGCGTTCATTAGTCACATTTATGTGAAGTTTATTGTCTTTTCACAAATTTTCCTTCAATTATTATATCTTGAACGATCACAAACACAATTGCAACTGAATGTATTTGTTTTTTTATAAATTGATGAAAACCTTTCAACAAAATATTAATAGACGACAGTGTTTGAATATTTTAATTTTGTACTAACACAAACTAATTAAACGTGACCTCATCATTATTGACATGTTAGTTCGCAATTATAAAACAAGCGGCAGAGCCTAACACCTGCTACATTTTTTTAATAACAGGAGAGTTTTCAAATAAAGGATGTCTTATCACGTACAATCTCAATAACTTTCATTTGCAAGAAGAAATTAGAGAATTAAAAACTTTTTCTCTTGAATAAAATAGCGACATGGAAAATTATGGATCCAAACACAAAAATATTAATTTGAAAATAGCATAAAATAAAATAATTAAAATGACTTCAATGTAACTGAAATGACCTGAAAATAAATGAAATAACCTAAATATAGATGAAATGACCTAAATATAGATCAAGCGACCTAAATATAGATCAAGCGAACTAAATAAAGATCGTCACTTGACCGAAATGGAGATCAGCTGACCCAAGCGAACCAGGTGACCTCAAAAACGAATGAAGAAGATGGATGGATGGATGAATGAATGAATGAATAGATGAATGGATGGGTGGATAGATGAATGGATGGATGGACATGGGGATGACGTGAGACTGACCTTTGCTGTTTCCGTTCTGATCCCTGAGAATGGTGCACTCCTCGATGTATCCGAATGGTTGGAACATCTGCCGGATGTTGTCTTCGGTCTGATGTTTGCTCAACATGCCAACAAATAATTTCCTATCTTCGGCTGCTTGTGGTCGTCATGGTGATGTGAGGTGAGGAAATGGATGGCAAATTTTGATTGGTTGATTTGATGCTGATGATTATTATTATTATTTATTTAGTTTTTATTATGATTATTCTGATTGAATGATATGATATGATATGATATGAGGATCATTTTGATAGGCTAACAGCAATGGGGTTAATTGATTTTAACTGGTATGAAAATGCTTTTTTTTCTGTGTATATTTGAAAAAATGCGAATTCTAATGCAAATCTTTTAGAAAATTTCCTTGAAATATCATTTTTGAGAAACTCGTCTTCGATCGTCTTAAAAATTTACGCACGAGATTTAAAGAGAAAATGATTGATTGATTGCAAACATTTCTTTCATCGTTTTTCTCATCTGGTCGTCACCAACCTCCTCGTTATTTTTTGCCAAATATTTTCCATCTTCCATTCCTCCATAATTGAAGTTTTTTTTTATTAATTTTTCAATAAAATTTGATCTAACTTAGTAGAAAAATTATCGTCAACTATTAAAAAAAACCAGCGATGAAAAAAAAATTTATTTTTAAATAATTGTAAAAAAATTTTTCTTGGTAACAATAGCGAGAACAGAAATGATGATGGACGATGACGTCATTGTCATCCATGACATCTGCTTGTTTCTCTCAAGAGATGGTGCTGACAATTGTTAGGATAATGCTTATCATCTTGAATATTATTATTATTATTGTTTTTATTGTTTTTATTAATATTATTAATATTTGCAGTTGTTGTTGTTGTTATGAATATCATTATATTATTATTAATACGGTAATTATTATTATAAATAATAATTATCATAATTAATATAAAAAAATTGGTGTGCGAACATTTCAAAAGTCATAAATTTGATATGGATTAGTAATATCATTATTATTAAAATTATTATTATTATTTATGACATAAATTTGAATATATTTCATCGCTCTGTACTTTTATTTTGAATTGAGTAGTGAGCATAGTGGTCTTATATTGGCATTTCATTATTTTACCATTCCATAGTTTTTACCATTACCCTGACTTTGAATAAAAGAGTTATCATTATTGTTACTGTTTAATTATTACAATAATTACTTTTTTTTTTTTATCAATTATTTTTTTCTTATATTACTTCTAGTTGTGGTAGTGGAAGTAGAAGCAGCAGCAGTAGTAGCTAGCTCTGTCGGTTGTAGCCAAATATTTATGATGCTGACAATGAGGATGATGTCCATGGAGAAACGATGATGACGACTTCAATCATAACGTCATATGCCATCAATCATCAATATGTTAGATAGCGAAACGATGCATTTTTTACAAAATTGCTTCAGATGATTATTTTACAAAACTTGTAGACCGTTGTGGAGGAAGCTGAAGTGAACAAAATGGTGATGAAGATGGTGTTGAAGATGGTGATGAAGATGGTGATAATTATGTGGTGATGGACAGAAAGAAGTGTATAAAAACTTTCGCCAACAGAATGAACGAGAAGAAACGTACCAAAAACTCTTAAATCAATAACAATATCGACGAAGTTACTACAAATAACAAAAAAAAAACGAACGAGCGTTGACGGTGATGTTTATGTCGATATAGTAAAAACCGGTTAATAAAGTATCGATTGGAATATCGACTTGACGGTATCCGGTGATTAGTACATCCCTGTTTGGCATCATTCACGTAAATGTCCATTCGGACGATGTCGAGCAATCCTCTCATATTTAAGCTGATTATTTAATTTGTAATCTTAACTTGATGTCGAATTCACCACGATCTAGATGTCAAAATGTTTGAATGCTTTTGAAATACGTTTCCAACTTTGAAGAGATTACTTTTATGAAGTTTAAACTGTTTAATATTTGTTCATAAAAAATCCAACGCTAATTACTGTCATCAGAATTTAAAATTTATATGCCTTTTCATTCTATGAAGTGATTGAAAATTGTTTAAAATTTAGTTCGAATTAATTATTATTTATTCGTGACTTACAAACAAAGAGATCGAAAACTTAACTGGGTAAAATACATCAATGAAATTATACACAACAAATTTGTTTACAAACTTTAATTATCAAAAACGACAATTTTGAAAAAGGTTTCAGAAACCAATAGAATTCCATTTAATTTAATTGAGTGCTAAGCTATTCCATACATGTTAGAAAGAATAAACTGAATCGTGAGAAAGCTTCGATGGAACTGATAATGTTTGAAACATAATCATAAATAACACAGATGTTTTTAATAGGGTACATAAAATTGTCTAATTTCCGTATTTAATGAATAGTGGATTTTCAAAATGATAAAAAAGTATGAGGCATTTATTATACAATATTTAAAATTGCATATGGCTGTTTCGAAAGAGTTTTGAAATGATCTCCTCTGTATTTTTATTTCTTTTAACTTAACCTGCTCTGCGTTGCGTTGCTGTGTCTTTGAAATGTTCAACTTTTTTATTTCATAATAGACTATATAAATTACCATTCAATTCTAATGAGTATATAATTGTAAATAAAGTTGCAATACATTTAACAGCATTCAAACAACCGTATTTTTTGTTTCTAATTTTTAAAAAATTCAGCATGTGTTTTAACCACATTATTCATCATAATTTTTAATTTTTGTACTTTCGCATAGTAAAAAGTTGAGTGGTTCTAGAACAAAATAACAAATCATTTTTTAGATGAGTAGTTGGAAAACATTTAGTCCTTTATTTTACAGTAAACAAAAAAAGAGTTGAACCTAGAATTTCACAAGCTTGAAAGCTGCCACCAAAAAATGCAATCGCGATCCAATCGATTGAAAATTTAGAACCATCTGTGGATAGCAGTTAAAATTTTGCTCCAAACTTCATAGAAAAAAGGGGCTGCAGAGTTTCATCGAAAACTTCCATTCTGTAGTGACAGCCTTACCAACATCATCAAATCTAATTTCACTTACTTCGGCATTTTTGTTGATGATACTAACAGATTGTTTGATTAGCAGTAATACAAGTAGAGTTGGAAGTAGTAAGAGAAGTAACAATAGTAGTACTTATGATGATGATAATAATAATAATGTTATTAGCGCTGAAGTGATAGAATTGCATTATATGATTAGTTTCATTTAAGTATTGTTATCTTGTTATATCTGTTATCCTCGCTATTTGTCAATCGATTGTAGACCATAGAATCTTTTCAGACCCTAGAAGCTATATAAGGGGCAGGAGTAGCGAAGTCAGGCAGCGAGGTTTGAAGAGAAGTCGTAATTGTGATTCATGTAGTTACTTGGATTAGTTTAGTGTCATTATAATTGTTAGTGTTCAAATAAACGTTCAACAAAGTTTTCGTTTGATGCAGTTGTGTTCATCTATCGGGAATCTTGAACCTACCCAATAACGAACACTTGACGATCGTTGGAAGCTACAAAACTGGTGTTGGAAATATATAAAAATCATTGAAGTTGGTCTTGGTAATTAGGAGAGTCAAAGCTTACAACAGCAATAATAATATTATAATAATAATAATAATATTAGTAAGTGCAACTGTAGTTGTATAAGTAGTAGTGGTAGTAGTAGTAGTAGTAGTATTAGTAGTATTAGTAGTAGTAGTAGAGGTAGCTAAAATATTTACTGGAACAACTATTATAATTTTGATAAAGAATATCTTGGTTGTGGTAAAAGAAGTTAAGAAGAATGTAACAGTAGTAGCAGAAAGTTCATTGAAAATATTCAGAGAATTAATAACAAGTTTGATAAATTTATCAATTTTTCGGCAAATTTTTGAGTTTAAAATTTTAAAAAGATCATGTTTTCTTTCAGTTTTCATTTGTTTACGAATCTATACAACTGAATTATACATTACATAAATAAATTGAACTTTTATTTCAAGATATTCTTTTATTCATCAAAGAAAAAAATCATTTAAACTACATTTTTAAAAATGTGGTTGTAGCGATGACTGAAGAACTGGAGTAAAAAAGTTTCATTTAATGATGGAATGATTGGCGAAGTGAGTGATGCAATGACGCTTGGAATGAAAAACTGCACTCCGACTAACCTCCAACCATGTTGAATGATGACCTCACTGGACGAGTTTCTAAATTTTTTATTTAAGATTTTTTTCCTCTTTCTTTCTCTTTAAAAAAATTATATTTTCCGCGCAACGTAGCAACAAACTTATAAAATATATCGGTTGATTCTATAAAAAATAAACTCTAAATGCTATAAAAATAAATTACAACCAGCAGATTGTATACAAAAATAAATCAGTTTTTATTTTATTATTCCTCCAAATTGGATGTTGTGTATGATTTATTGAACAGTTCGAATGAAAAATTTTATCAAGAAATGAGTTCAACAGTATCGGCGGATGACCATCATTCACGAAGCAACATCCAACTGACACAAAAGCACCAAGGAACTGAACAATATGCTGAACGAGGTCCTCCTAACTCTTATATCAGTCAGCCAGCAAAAATATTAAATGTTAAATATGGTAAAACAACTACAGATGTATTATTAGAAAATAAATATTCAGAGCAACACGTAGCGGCGAATCGATGTTCCTTATTGAAATGTCAGCTCAACTTTTCCTTATTAATTACAAATAAGACGAATAATGTCGCTTGCTTCCTCCCTACACACACGTGTGCACGCCACACTCTCTCTTCCATCCTCCTCTTCCTCTTCCTCCTCCTCCTCCTCCTTTCTTATATCCAGCAATGAAATATCAGCGGCTGCATACATGCATGTACTTGTGTGTGTGCGCGTGTGTGTGCGTGTGTCTGTTTATATATATGTGATTGTATGTTTGTTTGCATGCATGTATGTATGTATATGTGCATTTGTATGTGTGTCTGTTTATATATATATATATATATATATATGTGATTGTATGTATGTGTGGGTGCGTGTGTACGTGTGTCTGTTTATATATTTGGTTGTATGTATGTATATGCGTGTGTGTGTGCGTGCTTATTTATGCAAGATTGTATGTATGTATGTATGTATATGTACGTGTGTGTGTGTGTATGTATGTATATGAACGTGTGTGTGTATGTATGTGTGTGCTTGTGTGTGTGTATGTATGTGTGTGTGTTTGTGTGTTTGTGTGTGTGTGTGTGTGTGTGAGTGATTTTTTATTTTATACGTCTAAATCTTCAATTCAGTGCGCTGAGCAATACTCGAGAGTGTGCACGTTCGTTTTGCTTCTTTGAATATTTAGAACTACCATTGAATGGAATAAAACAGCCAGCCAGAAAGCATTTCATTTTGTTGTTTTGTGTAAAAATTAACAATTAACAACAAAATTTATTAAAAATTAACACGAACACAACCATACCAGTGTAGTGGCATTGAATGAATGAATTAGATGGATGAATGAATGAATGAACGAACGAATGAATGAATGAAGAAATGAATTAATGAATTGATAAATGGTGAAAAGTAGTAATGACAATTTTGTCAAAAAAATATAACGTTATTTTTATTTAAAAGAAAAAAATCAGAAGCAACACAATCAAATAAATACGAAACATGGATGGCATGATGTAATAGAAAGAAGAACAGAACCTTGTGACGAAGACGAAATTGATTGGTTAAAAATAAAATGTACCAACAGTCGATAATTTTTAACAACTCAAACGTGCAACAATCCAGATGCATGTCTGCAAGTTGAGCAAGCCCACTCATATGGCACAATTACAAAAAAATATATAACGCACGAACATTCAGCAACGTCCAACGCTCTGAAAACTTACAAACATCACAGCGTTATTTATTTAACGCAACAACAACACAACAACACACCTTCAATTACTTAACACAACAACAGCAACAACAACAACACATTTAATAAACTTGGAACTACTCGGTGAAACAAAACTGAAATCATGGGCATTGTTCGATACAAAGTAAGATAGAACCACAGGCAAGAAGAAAACGAAATATAACATCCACCGCCTAGCTCTGAACACAACTTAAGAATGATGCTACGCGTACACTCTTCGTATCGGTCAAGCCATCTTGTGATGTTTGTATGCTTTTCTTGTATGCTCAGTTGTATAGTTTGCCTGTTTGTATGTTTGTTTTTGTGTGTACGCTTGTGTGTGTTTGTCATTGGCGTGTACATCTATTAACGTACATATGTTTGGATGTATGTGTGTGTGTTCGTGTGTGTATGTATGTTTGTGTGTGTATACTTGTGTGTGTATGTGTATGTGTGTGTATGTATGTGTGTGTGTGTATGAGTGTGTATGTATGTATGTCTGCATGCAGATATGCGTATACGCAAGCATTTTCAATTAATGTGTTTAAGAAGAAGGAACAGGTATCAGAGTGTTGGTGGGTCGTGTGGCAGCGTGTGGTGATGAGAAGGATGAGGTTTTTCTGATTGAGCTAGTTCGTGCACTGAGAAGATACTTTGAAATTGAAACAAAATTTTTAATTAATAATTTCGTAAAGATTAACATAATCAGCAACAACGATCTCAGCAACAACGAGAACAAGAGTAACGACGAAACAACAACGTTTGTGGAACATTGGAAGTGTAAGGACGAAAAATATAAATAATGTTAGAGCGGTGACAAACCAGGCGACACATTCGCGTCGAACACGTTTCGCTCAACAAACTTAATGCGACAATACACGCAACGAGAACAACATGTTTGTACATGTGCGTGAACGTATGCGTGAATGCCACGCAACATTCAAGTTGTACGTCCCACCATCACTTCTGTAAAACAAGCCCATTTGTTCCGTGTGTTGTACGTTCGTTTTGTGTACACGCATATACAAATTATACATGAAGACATACACATGCATGTTACATTACAATTTTAATTGTCTTCTGCTCCTTGCGATTGTGTCGTTGTTGATGTTGTTTTTGCTTTTGTTGTTGTTGTTGATGTTGGTGGTGGTAGTGCTGTTGTTGTTGTTGTTGTTGTTGATGTTGGTGGTGGTAGTGCTGTTGTTGTTGTTGTTGATGTACAAAATTGTTTTTATGATTTTATGAATGTCAAACACTTCATCAGGCACAATAAAACATCACGCTCCAATAACATATCGAGTATTGTGCAAAGTTGGGCGCAGATACCTTCAAGTGTACAGCACACAGTACCCAAGGGTAGGTACACTAAATATGTACAATACACAAACAAAACACATACACACGTGTTGAAGGTGTGCAATACATGAACAACAAACATACACACAGATTAAATGTATACAATACACAAACAACACACGTACACAAACATATTGACAATCTCCACAGAGCTTAAACTAACAAATTAAAAGATAAACTAAACACTTGAACATTTGAAAAACACAAAATATTCATAGTTTTAAACATTTGAAATACATAGCCAAATTGTAAAGAAACAAATTCAAACTCAGAAAATATAAACACCAACAGACCTACTCAACACACCAGCATACAAAAATACACCAACATACAAACACATACAAACATACATTACACTTTGAAATCTGTCTGAATTGTTTTCTGCATGTTTTTTTTATGTTGCTGCTGTTTTCATTGTTGCTGATGCTGTCATCTTGTTTGAGTAATTAATTTTGCATAACTTTTTTCCGTTGCTTCGGTGGTTGTTTGTTAACGACACGGATGAGAAGCAGTACTGAAGATGATAAGAAGGATGGTGCATCTGTTTGTGTGTGTGTGTGTGTCTTTGCACATGTATATTTTCGCATTTATATTTGTATTATTTTGTATGTATCTTTCTTATCCTTTTTTTAGTTTGTTTGAGGATGTATTTGTGGTTATCTGCAATTGAATGTTCGTTTAAATAAAGCAACATTTGTTTGTGTGGCTGGCCTGTGTGTGTTTACTGTTTATGTCCGGGCACTTGTGAATGTGCACGTGTGTGCATGGATGTACGTGAACTTGTGCGTATGTGCGTGTGCATAAATGTATGTGTGCACGTGTGGGACTGATGATGGCCCAGTGGTTAACAGGATTAGGATGCTAGAATAAATGAGTTTAGAATGCCTATGAATGCATTGAGACTTTTATTTTTATGTGTTGGTTTGTAGGTAGGTGTGTATATGTGCGTGTGTATGTGTGTGTGTGTCTCTGTGTGTGTGTGCTACTGCGTGTGTTTAAGTTTATTTTTGTTCACTTACTCAGAAATATTGGAATATTGTAATAAGGTCATCAAGAAATTATCGAAACCTCAGTTTTTGCAGCCTCTCAGTTTAATTTCATCATCTGCGCTCAGCAACCACTTATGTGGCACGTCTTTGAACCCACCCCCTTTGATCTCATCAATCTGCCATGGTGACGAAACTCTTGCAGCGATTTCAAGTTTAGATCTCATCAGTGTCTTGTGCAACAATATAAAAGACTTCTTAGTGAGATATTTAAAATTTTTTTGAATCAGTTCCTGCAGCATGAAACTTGTGTTGAATGTTTCGCGGATATGAATTAAAAATGTTAACGAATCCTGAAAAGATAACCCTTTGTCCTTAATTTCGTTGCAATTATTATTTACAATTAAAATTATTTCCATTAAAATTGTAAAACCAACCATCATCATATTTGTCACGACCACCAAGTTATTTACATTTCAATCAAGCCTCCATCTGATTTAACAACCATAAAAAAGTTTTGTAAAAGTTCCATCGAGTTTATCGAACAAAACAATTTGGCACCACCATCGAAAGGGCATAACTGGACAGAAATACTCTGCAACTTAGGACGTGTCATTAATGTGGATGATAAAGAGAACAAGTAAAACGAAACCGCCCGATATGGGACTCGAACCCATGACCCTCAGATGACTTGAGGTACTCAGCTCTTAAAAGTCTGATGCTCTACCGACTGAGCTAACCGGGCTTGTACTGGTTGTGTGTAAATAGTTCTTACGTAACTGCATGCGTTAAAGTTGGAATGATGACGCAAGTGTAATGGGGATGGTTGTGGAAGGCTATTTGAAATCTTTTGTTTTTTGAATGAAATGCAAGGCATAGAAATATAGAACCACATAAACCCAACAATTGAAATGAATGCTTTATTTAAGTTTCAGTTGTTGCTTTGATTGTAGGTTTTCATCTGTTTTTATTTTTGTGTTCCTCTGTTCGTGAACTTTCAATTTGAAAAGTTGGTAGTTTTCGTTTCGTTTCGTTCTGTTCTTCTTCTCAAGTTGGGTTTGTGTGGTGCTGTTTGTTTATCAAATGCGTGTGCACCACATATTTCCTCTCCTCGTCTTCCGTCTCTGCTGCTGCTCTGCGAGGTGTTCAAGCGGGGTTGATAAGAAAATTATGCGATAACTAATGCTTCATGGATGTTCGCATTGAAATGAAAAGGTTCTCCCATTCGACGGCTTAATGTTGGTTTGTATTTGGTTGGTTTTGTTTGTTTGAGTTTTGTTTGTTTGTTTGCGTTTTGTTTGTGTTTTGCTGGTTTGGGTTATTATGTGATTATGTAAAAAAATGTTTAGAAAAATTGAGTTTAAAAATAACAAATCTTTTTTATAAACATATGTTTAAAAAATTTATTTGATATTGAGGTCACCTAGAATATGAACCAAGCTAAGGAACTACCTAATTTCATTTCTTATGAAATAAATTTGTTAAAAAAATCAAAAAACTGATAAAACTGATTTACAAAAAACATTCCAATCATAAAAAAACCAGGCTAAGTTTGAAAACTAAATATACAACTTAGAAATAATTTCTTAAAAGAAGTATTTGTTACAAGCATCGCCGTGAAGTAACGAACATCTGAATTAAATGAGTTCTGTCTTAAACTAATTCATTTGTTGAAGTTGTCCAACGAAGATTACAAACAATTTATGGATATTTTAATGGTTTACTACTACATTATTAGCAAATCAAAACAAATTCATCACTTGAAAAAAACATTAAAAACAAAGAGATAATTACAATAATTTTAATAATTTTTATTAAGTATATTTACAAATATCAACTAAATATGAATAAATATAAATTAAATATAAATATGAATAGAAAATATGACATACAAACAAACAAACAATAGCAGCCAACCAAAACAACAACTGAGTATGACGAAAGAACAAGCTTCAAGAGACACACAAACATATAACCAACCAAACAAAAAGGCTTACTTTTCCGAAAGATGAAATGTCAACCCAGTGGCATTGCCTGCTACTGCATGGCATTCTTTATAATGCAGAAGCATAAAATACATCAACACCACACACGCACACACATCACACACAACATTTACTCGCAAATCAAGAAACAACAGACACACACACACACAGACACAGACACACACACACATACACACACACATAACAAGATACTATAAAACACATAAACACCTAAACGTCACAATACAACAGAAACACACACACATCATCATCACACACACAAGCACAAGCATACATACATACATAGCACAATGCTTCAAATACAATACGACACCCAACCTTCAAACTAAACACAGTTGAATACAATTCTATAAAAGTCAATTAGAAAACCGTGACGAACAAAAGATGTGAAGAACGATGTTCGCACGTTCACAGCAAACAATCGATGAACGTGAACATCGCTTGATACATAGAAAAAAAATTGTAAAAGTTAGGATTATATCTCTCAAACACAAAAAAAAAAAAAAAACAAAAAAGTTATATTAGAAAAATTGGAGCTGCTGACAAACATATAATACCGTTATACAAACATTCAAAAATATGATGCAAGTAACTTGACACAAATAAACTTCTTGAACATGCGACACAAAGACACAGATATAAACACACACATACTAACACAATGGCATTCTCGCTTACACACACAAAGACACACAAAAAGACAAAAGCACCTACATAGGGAAAAATACCAGATGCATATAGAGACGAAAAGACTCTCACCGACAGCAAAACAAATGTACAGACATAGAGACAAAAAAACAGACATGGGTACATACAGACATAAAAATACAAACACAGACAGAAGAACACTCGCAAACATAAACTCACATACAGATAGACAATGACACACAAATAGGTTTAAATACACATTTAGAACCATGAAGACACAAACATTTACAGACTTAGACACGACAGACAAAAAACAAATATACAGACAGACAGACATGGACTCACATACAGACATAAAACACGCCCACAGACACATGAACAGGCATACAAGCAATGACACACACATACAGACAAGCAAACAATATTTGATACACATCCATTTTTTTGGTTTTGGTTTAGTACGCTTCGTGTTAGTAACGATGGAAGATTTTGTCTTCATTTAATTTTCTTTCCTCCATTGATCGATCAAAGGCCTTCAAAAAGAGAAGGAAAGAGCAATTAAGTGGGCATACAATTTCTTCAGCCATGCAACTCTTTTCCGTGCACGTGTTTGTCAATACATCCAGCTACATCAACCAGCTATCGTATAGCATTATTATTATTATTATTATTATTATTATTATTATTATTATTATTATTATTATTATTATTGTTGTTATTATTATTATTGTCATTATTATTATAATTATTATTATTATCATTATTATCTATAGTATTTATTGCGAGAGAAATAATGCATAATTAAATATATCTTTCATCTGCATGTTTCAAAATTGAACCAACAGTTTTTTAACTTGAAATGCCAAACGGTAGGTATGTGAATATGATCGAGGATGTTCTGGAGCTGGTGCGACATTTTTGTGATGGTTCGATCTGGTTAGATTGAGTGAAAAATTACTCTGCCGTCTCCAGGGGAGATGTGGATCCAGGTAAAATTGGATGGTGCTTGGTGTTTGAAGATGTAAAGATTACACTGGTCTGGAATTAATTAAGAACAAAAATGAATATTTTAAGTTGAAGTGTGTAAAATAAATTTTAATGGTGTGTGGAGTTGTAGGTGTTTTTGACAGGCAGGATAAATTTGAATCTAGGGTTGGATGGTTGATTGTCAAAGGTTTGGGAAAATAAGGAACTAGAAGATAAATAAAGTTTATTATTTTTTGAAAGTTGCTGGAGCAGTAAGTTGAAGATGGCCGTGGTAGGTCTTGTGGGGGAATGTGAACTGATCAGGTAAATGAGGTTGTGACTTTGAGGAAATTTAACATTCATGATTAGAATAGCTTTCATCGTTAATAATATAAAAACGTTATCGTATTCTTGGTCATCATCATCATCGTTGTTACCATCTTGTTCTTCCTTCTCACCAACAACGTCGTCATCATCATTTTTTCCATCCCTTTCTTAACGTCTTCTCTCTTTTGAGAATACTTTTACTTCAGACTTCTATTGCACAATTTGATTCAGAAATGTTTTCTCATTTCATTTTATTTTTTTTTTCTTTTGGAAATTATTCGGACAAACTAGAATAGATTATAACGGAAAATTCCTAATTGCAAACGTCAGTCAAAACTGTTATTTCAGAATTTTTGAAATCTTCAGAAAGAGACGCATGCACGCACAAACAAACAAGCGAACAAGCGAACGAACGACAGAACGAACAAACAAACACAAATGTACAAACAATAATATTCAGATGAAATTTCATTCACTCGATTAAATGTTTAGTATTGAACATACACCTTCATTTGAATATGTTGCATAATGTGTTTCATTGTGCTATGTTGGATAATAACAAAAAAACTCTTAATAACAATAGTGTAAGGGGAGGATATCTTCAGTTTAAACGCTGTTGTTGTGCAAGAACGCATCCATTACAGCTGTCTGGTTCATTTGACAACTGGCTATACAACATTTTCGTTGCGTAATTGGATGACACATGTGCGTGATGCGGTTTACTAGGGAGATAGTTGTGAGTTCGTTGCTTGAAAAAATTTGTTCTAAATGTATTCATAAATTATTTTATCATATGAAAAATAAATAAATAAATTTATTGAAATTTGTGACCAAATAATAAAATTTGATTAGTTTAGCAAAGTTTGAAAATATAATGAAAACAATCTGCTCGATATGCGAAGAAAAAAGTTATTTAGAGCAAATTAATCACCGCAGATGGTTAGCAAACCGAAATAGACGACTTCCATATTTCATTCCGCTCTTTTTTGAGTTTGTTGGTTGAAACAAATTTTAAAAATAAGAGCAGGTACAAAGTTTTTCTCATCATTCAAAAATAGGAATTTAAAATCTATTTCTTAATGAACTTGACTTGTTCAAAATAAAAACAATAAAATTAAACTTATCCAGTTCTTCGGTTAGTAACATGGAAGATTGCAGGGGGATGTAGTCTTGTTAATGATAAGTTAATAAACTTCTTTTTTTAGTGGATCTAGTCACCTCCCCAATAAAAGTTAAAAATCATTTATGTAAATCTTTCCATAATTCAATTTTTATAATAAATAAAATTTGAATTGTTTACCAATTTGAGCGTTCAACATGTTTTGAAGATTTTATATAAATTTTTTAATGTTTCAACACGTGTCTGTGTGTTTGTGAAACATGTCTGTAATTTGTATTCTTGTGTTTGGCATGGCCGGTGAGCTCCGAGGCATCCAAAAAAGGTGGTCCTCACAAAAAAATGCAACTTGAACACAATTCTGTGTGCAATAATTGTTAAAACCGCTGGATTAAGCAATGAAATTTGCGCCGATTTTAATAACAAAAATTGTTTAAATAATTGAAAAATATCAGCAGAGCAAAAATGGAAAAAACGCCAGCCTTTTTACAAACCAACTACTGCAATGTTAACGCTGGAAATGAAAAAAAATAATTAAAAATAAATTATTGTTTAGTTAATTAATTAGAGCCTCCATTTAAAGTTTAAATGCATTCACATTTTTGTAACCCTGAGCTCTCCACGTCTGTGGACCAGGCATTCTAATTTTGGTTGATGTGGATATGTTCATCTTTCCCTGTGCGTGTCCGCGTCTTTCAATTACCCATCATTCCATTCAACAGTGCTGGAGATAATTATTTGACGTCAACACGCCACTCCAAGCTACGTGCACTTTCTGTATATTCGAGAACAAAAATATTAGACGAAAATAAAAAATTATATAGTGAAAAATTCAAAACTTCTAAAAGCCTGCTGCTTCCAGCAACTTTTTGCTTTAAAAAACACAGACCGAATCTAAAAAAATTTTAAAACACGTCAACGTAACTTGCTCATTTGACTTCTAAACAGAAATAAAAACTACGACAATCTTATTTCAAATTTGTAATAATTTAATTGAATGCAAATCGTCCTGAGCACTTTTATCAAATATCCCATAATCAAGGTTTCTATTATTATTTATTTTCATTATCGTTCGTTTTGTTGAAGATTTTGTGAAGGATACCTATCTCTAAAAAAAGCAATTTGAAGCAAAGTGCATGAGAACAGTGGCGAATCTGAGTGAGGCCGAAAGGGGCTAATTTTGGCTACACTGCCATGAAGTTGGAAAATTTTGAAAGTTTTTTCGTCCCTCGTCGAAATTTCAAAATTTAAACAATTGCAAAATTTTGCCCTGTTGAAGTTGTTCAGATCCGCCACTACATGAAAAAGGTATGAATGAATGAATAACAATTCGGCTATGAGAACCTATTTTTTATACCATTCATCCACCTTTCTACCTACAGCAACATTTTCTTCAGCCACCAAGGTACACCAATATATCCAGGTGTCTGTTTTTATGCGTTTGATTCATTAGTTCGTTCGTTTGTTTGTTTGTTTTTTATTTGTTTTTTCATTCATCCATTCACTCATTCATTCAGTCAACCATTATTTATTCATCTTCTGGAATCTCAAAAGACCACCCATTGACGAACAATTCAGATTCACCAATATAATAAATATAAATGATACAGTTTCAACGTAGAGAGTATGGATCGGATAGATCATCATAAAGCCGCATCAGGCCGACTAATCAATTAGTTATCATATAAGTCCAATCATCCTATTAAAAGTTAACCTGTCTTAATGAGTGTTCCCCGCGTACGTCAATTAACGACACCGCCCTACCATCGTCTGTAATGACTCAAAGCATCATATCCAACACGCAGACACGTGCGTGCTGTAAATGAAACATTTTTCATATACTGATTTTTTTTTGTTTATTTTTGTTTTACATATAATTTGGATTATATTTAACAGTAATACCGCATATTAATGGTAAAATTATTTCTCCACATTTCAACTTATTATTTACAACTATAGTATTACAATATATACATGTTTGCACTAT